ACAAGCATCACCTACGACAGTGGTGATCAAAGTGCTATCAGTACATCGGGTACAAAGGCAACCCGATGTATGAAATAGGACACCCCCTGGCAGAAGGGAAGAAATGTTTGAATAAATTAGAACCAAACTTCCTGGTGTTCCAAAGTCTCTTCTTAGTTCTTTACTCGAGAAGAAAATAGTTATGGTGCCCACAAACACCGGAAAATAGCAAGTTCACTACACCGAAGAGCCTAAAAAGAGTTCTTTCCAAATCTACAGTCATTGACTCCAAAGTCCAGAAAGTCCCGTCCCCAGTGAATGAGAAAAGGGGGAGCTAACATCAAGACGATGAAATGTCTCAGGACAATCTACAACGCAACGCCACCAGATCTGCAACACTTATACAAGCAGACAGAAGGCATCCACAAACTACAATGCCACGCCACCGGATCTGCAACACTTATAGAAGCAGACAGAAGGTGTCCACAATCTACAACGCCACGCCACCGGATTCGCAACATCCTTGCAAGCGGACAGAAGGCGTTTACAAATACTTCCAAAATACCTTTGCACATGCACCTTAGTTTGTATACACATAGGTACACAAAGGGGTACATCCAATCAATGAAATTCTCGACCTGCAAGGGCCTCGGCGAGCATGTTATTGGTACACACGTGACGTCCAGGGATGCTGCGCGGGTTATTAAAGTCGAACCCGATCCTCCTAAGTCAGATAGGTAGGAGTTGACAAGGTTCATCAAATGATTACAAAATGTTCCCAAATACCCGCAAGGGCCCCGGCGAGCGTGTTATTGGTACACACGTGACGTCTAGGGATGCTACGCGGGTCAATAAGTGAATTCTAGTTCGAACCAGATCCTACTATATAAATTAATAGGAGTTGTTAGGTTCGAACCTTCAAACAAATACATGGTTATGGCGACCAGTATATTTGTTTTAATACATTCATATTAGGCCTTCAAATAATCAAAAGAATTCACCAAATAAATGCATAAAGCATACGAAACCCGATCCTCTGTCGACATCCAGACAGAGTCGACAAGGTTCAAGCTTTAAAAGGAAATAACCCCTAACACCCCGATGATGGCCGCGTTGAATGCAAATCTCAACCGGAGGGGTCCATTCATAAATACTTTCAAATACCTTTCAAATTCCACTCCAAATACCCAAAAATCCAAAATTCCAGAAAATTCCAGAAAATCCCAAAAATATTTAAATTGAAATAAACTATCAATCGCTTAAAGCAAAATTCATCCACTCTCCGCAACAGTTTGCCGGGGTGGACAAATCAAAATTTACTTCAGCTCACAAAAGACCCATCACTAGGACCATTCTCAAAACAGTCTCCTGCCAATAAGGATATGGTACATGTCATCTGACTAGCGGTTTGCCGCCAAATGGCATCGCAGGATAAATGGTTATGACGACCCGAGGCCCTCTGAACCGAGTGGTTTTGCCGCCAAATGGCACCACGAAATACCGGTTATGGCCATAGCCAATACGCTCCTTAATGGCATCAAATCCTTGAGATATGAATCAATAGGATATGATCGATAGGGCACAAAGCCCTCTGTAAGCTAAGGTGGATTCAAATTTGTCCCCTTAGACAAACATCAACCCCGGTCTAACGACTAGCCTTACTCGAAAGTTCTCTCTCGTGATCGGGAGGGGTAATTAACTATAGGGGCTTGCGCCTATAGGAAACCAGAACTCATATCATAAAGTCCTCACAAAATGAGGCCGAAATCTCTGGGTAGTGTCTTATCTACAAACCCATCTGCCTTTCAAAATTTACCTCGGAACTTATTTCAGTTAAAACTCCCTCGCCGAATAAAAAGCAAATCATGCGCGGCGGGGAGGCCGGGGCCGAATTTTCAGAGCCCACACTACAATCTTAAGTTATGACATAAAGTCAATGAGCTTGACCAGTCACCTCATAATTTGATAATAATTATCGAAATTGCCTATAATCCTTTGGGTTGCGGTTTTTTTCTCTTTTAGCTTTTTTTGTTTGGCCTTTCTTTTAGAAAGACTTGATCTTGTTTTGCCAGATTTTGATGAACTAGCTTGGCTAGGATGCAATATGGAAGTATATGCACTTAAAATTGGCAACTCATTTATGTAGAACTGGTTCAGCAGGAGATTTCCACTTGACACCAGACATTCCTTCAAGCTGCTTCAGTATTTTCATTATCTTTCTCAAGATCATAGTTTCCTATTGTTCACTTTAAATTGTTTATTTTTCTGCTTTATCATTAGTCGGGGATACGGAAGAGGACGTGATCACCCGTGTTGATTCTCTCTTGGGATGAAGTAAAATACTGTTTGTTAGTGTAAACTCTCCTTTTTGGTATTTTCTTTCTAGTTAATCCTACAAGACATAACAATTCTCAATAGAATGATTGATTATCCGATGATATGGGCAATAATTTGGATTGTCGGTGTGATCGCCCTCCTCCAGTCTCTTGCATTATAGTAGTTTTAAACTCGCTCTAAGTATTTGTCGAAATAATTTGAGAACACTTTCCCTCTTAAATGAATAGTCTTTATTCATTTTGCCTTTGAGTGATGAGAATGTTCGATCACTGGTTCCCGCCATTTGATTTAGCCATTCTCCTCTACCAAGTAAAGGTCTTAGGCTTGTCATTTCCTCCTAGTATCATCTTTGGTTATGGATTAGGATTGGTTGGCCCCTCTGTCTTCTTTATAAATAGGTTGTTTTCCTTTATCAACATTATATGTCACATGTTTTCCTTTATCAACTCTGTAAGAGAACATTGAATGAGCTTCACTCTTCCTAGTATATGGAGCTTTACCCTTTTTGAATTTATCTAAGTAGCCTTCAGACTTTGATAGATTTAACTTTTCAGACTTCACCACTCTATCCAGTAGATCCTGAGAAGCCATACATAAGAATGATAACATCTTATCATTAATGTTTCCTATTAGCGGTTGAACAACATGCTCCTCTTCTAATTATTGCTCACATTTCATGCTCAAATTACACCAGCGAGTTATGTATTTAGTCATTGACTTATCTCTTCTCTGCTTCTCCAAGGCAAGATCAGAAATAATGGTCTTTTTGGTTGCGCTAGCAAACCTCTTCCCAAACAAAGTTTGTAATTATGCAAACATCTTGACAACAGAGATTAAGTTGTTGAATAATTATCGAAAACTTAGGGCGTCGATACTTGTTGTATTACCATAGGAAGCTATGAATTAGGCCAATTGTTGTTCGGGGTTATTGTTACTATTGAATGTGTTAAACTTTGGGATGGAATACTTAGGGGTGTCAAAACTGGTCGACAGGTCGGGTTCGGGTTGAACCTGAGTTGACCCAGGTCTAAATGGGTCAACTTGAACCCGGTTTAAAAACCAGTCAGGATTTCCAACCCAGACCCGACCCGTGTGGGTTACTAGGTTAACCCGAACTGACCTAACCCACGACCCATTTGTAAATGCGAACCTAAAGGCAAAGAGACACGCATTTGAGGTGAGGCCAGCATGCAGGGCAAGGGAAAGAACATCGTGCGGGGAGACTCGGGTGAGGACTGACTTGACCGCGGGTGTGAGGGCTAGCGATCCAGTCGCCAGTGTGTGGGTCGGCTGGGCATCCGGGCGAGGCCAGCGCTAGCACGAGTGCAGCCCGTGTAGGACCGAGGGTTCGACTACGAGGCCGACTGGCTGAGGCATGTAGTGGGGGCCGACGGGTCGAGCTGCGAAGCAAAACACAGTTAGTCGGACACCCTACGCTAGTACTGTACACCGGCGTGACGTGTGTCAAACCCGGGTTAGTTTCGAGTTGCTACGTTAATCAGAACCCAACCCGATATTAGAAATAGGTCAAAATGTCAAACCAGAATCCAAACCCGAACCCGACATGTATAGCAATAGGTTGACCCGAACTCGGAATTTTCTGAGTCTAGTTCAGGTCATGTCAGCTTTTGACACCCCTAGGAATACCCCTTTTGATGCAGCATCTGGTCGTATTCTACTGGGTGTGCGCGACTTTTGTTTACTAATTTTTCTGCCTTGTTAGTAGCTATAATGGTTCTGATTTTCTCATTAATAATACCTTCCAACTGTTCGACTATCACATTCTCGAAGATGCTCGCCACATTCTACGAAGTGAGCTGAAGGATTAGGTTGTTGATCTCGTTACCGCCTTCAAGTGTACCCCGTAATTCTGAAGCTTGGGATATTGGGAGAGTTGGTAGGTTAGAAGCATTATTTGAAGCATGATTGATACGCAAGGCTGGCATAGGATTTGTAGCAACATTAATTTGCATCATTTGTATCATTCGCAGCCATCTGTGCCATCATCTCAGTCATTTTGTATTTAGCAGAGAGATTTATTTTTCTTTTGACCTCATTTGACGTCTTGTCTTTGCACATCTACAAGTGTGGCAATGTTGGAAAATAAAAGATTGTCTTCAAATCTTTCTACTTCTTCATTCTCTGAGGTTTTGGGAAACCCTTCATCACCGACAGCTTTCTTATCGCCGGCGAGATCACCATGAGGTTTTGTAAGCTCCAGCCAGGAGGGGATGGTGGAGAGCATTTGGTCGAAGAACTCGTCGGTACCATATGGATTGGCGAACGATGACGGGATCTCACCTGTAACGGCATTGATTGAAAAATCCATCAATTTTAGGCTTCGGGATCGGCCCTTCACTCTAATAGCAAAGACTTGAGGAGCATCATGTTGGGTTTTGGGATTGAAATCACCTTCAAAACCAGAGACATCAAGATCAATTGCTTGAGGTAGCAGGAATAGAAGTGAGAGCAGAGTGGTGTTGGAGCTGAAATCACGTAGAGGGTAGGCGAAAAAGTTGGAATCGTGGGCCGTAGGTATCGCGTGAGCGCTGATCTGGTCGCAAAACAAAGCAGAATCAGCGACCTCTATGACAGAATGTCATTGTTATCATTCAATTTTTATGGAATAGCATTTCTTTGGATTCTTTGACTTTTAATGAGGTATTATTCTGACTTTGTTTTAGGTATGGTCAGTTTGACAGTGCAAAAGAGACTTATGAAGTAATTTCAGACTTTGAAAGCATGCTAGATTTGTTTATTTGTCACTTAAACCCAAGTGCAATGCGGTGGCTTGCTGAGAGGTTGGAAGATGCTGCAACTAATTCTGAGCTTCGGAGGTACTGTGAAAGAATTCTAAGAGTCCGCTCTACTGGATGGACTCAAAGCAGCATGTTTGCCAATTTTGCTGCTGAAAGTATGGTCCCCAAAGGGCCTGAATGGGGAGGTGGAAACTGGGAGATTAAGACAACAATAAGTATCAAGAATATTCCTCAGTGGGAGCTAGCAGGGGAAGTTACGCCCTACATGAAGACTGATGATGGTGGCATTCCCTCCATCATAGCAGATCATATTGGTGTCTACTTGGGTGCAATTAAGGGAAGAGGCAATGTGGTGGAAGTAAGTGAAAAAAGTTTGGTTAGAACAACCACAACAGCTAGCAGCGAAAACAACGGTTCAGCCATTTCTGCAGTTATATCCTCGAATAATAATACTGGAAAAACAAGTGATACAAAAGTTGGCTCTCATGTGGATAGTCTAGATAAACCATTGTCAGGTGCTGGCGCTCTTCTAGCTGAACAGACAAAAGCAGAAGAAGAGTTCAAAAGATCTTTGTATGGTCAATTCAATTGTTGTAGTAGCGATGAAGATGAAGCAACATCAAAGACAAAGAAGATCAATATAAGAATTCGTGACAAGCCAGTTTCAGATTCCGCAGTTAATATCAATAAGCTAAAAGAAGCTACAAAACAGTTTAAGATTGGTGATGCTCCGAGGAGCAAGTCAATATCACGAGGAAGCCAGGATATTTCACCTCTTTCACTATTACCAGCTCCTACCACCACTACATTTGCCTGTTCTTCCATGCGATCACCACCTGCTGATGCGTTTAAAACTGATATATCAACACCTGCAACGCAGGCAAGCTCAAGGGTTGGGGCCATGGGCGTGTCTGCAGATCCTATTCCAGAAGACTTCTTTGAAGATACAATATCTGCTATCCATGTTGCTGCTTCATTGCCCCCACCTGGTTCATACTTATTGAAAATGGATCAAAATTTTCATGACAGTAAAAATGGAGAAAAAATTAAGCCGAATCAAAACATCACAACCAGCATTAACCTTGCGGATGGTGGAGTGCCCCCTCAATTGTCTCAGCACCCTGGTATTCCTCGGGAGGGACTTGGTCTATCTGATGGTGGAATCCCACCACAAGTGATTCTTTCTCCTCATTTACCTATCTCTTCACAAGCAATTGATCTTAGCTCTCTTGAAGCTCTGGGATCCAATGTCATGAAATTCTCCCAACGTTCACCATCTACACCTATTGTTGTTCCTCCCAGCCAGGTAGTACTTAACAAGTTCCTCTGGACATGCAGACTTTATGTTTTACGTTTTTCTTTTATATTTTCCTGAATCAATTTCTATTGTTAAGGTGCCTCGTGGTGTGCCAGCTTCAATTTGCTTTAAAACTGGTCTTGCTCACCTTGAGCAGAACCAACTTCCTGATTCCTTATCTTGCTTTGATGAGGCTTTTTTTACTCTTGCTAAGGATCATTCCAATGGATCTGATATCAAAGCGCAAGCTACTATTTGTGCACATTACAAGATTGCTGTAGCCATACTGCAGGTACTGTAACTCAAAATACTAAGTGTTCTTTTTTGGTTAGCATTGCCATCGCACATCATTTAGTCTTTCTGGTGCTGAATTTGTTGTCGCATCAATCACTGCAGAAACAGAATCTGCAATTCTTTAAGTGAGCTCCTTTGCTTCTTTTTCTAATTCAATAACAGGTTCTTCTATACATGCTATTTCTATTACACGTACATAACGTCTGAAGTATGAAACAACGGTGCACTTTACTAATCATAGGAAATGGATAAAGGCTTTACTTGAAAGTGTAGGAAATGGATCTTTATTTTTGTGAGTATATGCTAATGTTTCAGCACGCCAAACAGTTTTGGATAGGTTCTGCCAAAAAAGCTTTGCAGTTTTTATTTTGCTGGTTTACTTTTTATTTAAAGACTACTTATTTGTGATGGCATAATCATGGAATAATTTTAATTTTTGGTCAAATCTAATATGTTTCGGTTAATCGACCATAGCCCATCTAATTTGAACATTTATTTAATGATTTTGGCCAATCTCAAGCTGTGTCAAATGAAACATGAAGTTTTTGCTCATATCAGTTGGGCTTCTTCCAATGGAGGATAGCACAAACTACTTTTCATTGGATGAGAACTTAATATGAAACCTTCAGGCTTAAAATGAAACCTATAAGTAACAAAGAAACTATCATACTCGGTCCAGAGCTATTATTCTAATATATCTAGTTGTCATTAGACATTTCTTGGCCCTTCATTCTTTATTGTTCAGATGACAGTATAAGATACAGTGACATTATTATTAATTTTTATGATTATATGTCGGTCTTCAGCTTAACTTATTTTGTTTTGTGTGAGGTTTCAGATGAACACTTTTCCTTTCAACTTAACATCGTAATTTAACATATTACATTATCATTTGTTTTCCTTTGCAGGAAATTGCACGGCTCCAAAAGGTACATGGATCGAGCACAATCAGCGCCAAGGAAGAGATAGCAAGGCTGTCTCGCCATTTAGCCTCCCTTCCACTCCTTGCAAAGCACCGCATCAACTGCATACGCACGGCCATCAAGCGAAACATAGATGTTCAGAACTTTGGCTATGCAAAGCAGATGCTCGACCTCCTCCTTGTCAAGGCTCCCCCGAGCAAGCAAGATGAGCTGCGAAGCCTCATCGAAATGTGTGTGCAGAGAGGACTTTCTAACAAGTCAATTTACCCACAAGAAGACCCCTCTCAGTTCTGTGCTGCGTCACTTAGCCGCCTCTCCACCATTGGCCATGACATTTGTGACCTTTGTGGCTCAAAATTCTCTGCTCGGTCCTCACCTGGTTGCATTGTCTGTGGCATGGGTTGCATCAAGAGATCAGATGCTGTTGCTGCATCTCCTGCACCCTCTCCATTTGGCTGATCTTTTTCCCTTAACTTGTCATGTTACATTGAGCATGCATGATTTTTTTTGCTTCATTGAGCATGTAAGTGTATTTGTTCTTTTAAAAATTTTCATTCATTTATTGTAAAAATGAATAGTATTTGGTTACAGAAAGATTTTAAAAGTTTACAAGTCAGAGATGGAATCTCATTTGTTCATACTTCTATCATTATAAGAGTATCTATTTATTATTTCATTTAATAAACGAACATTTTGTTGCTTATTTCATTAATTTATAGTTTTTATTCGATTTTTATTTTATTTTCTTCTTCAAGATCATGTGAATATGGGAATGGGCAGCTTCAAGAATTTGAGGGAATATTACTGAGAGCTTATTAAGTTGAGCAATGTGCATAATTTACTGTGCAATACTTGGAATTAAAACTGTTAAGCTAAACTGAAGCCAGTTTTCCATTATCGGAGAATAATGCACTATAATTAAAATTTCACCCTTTTGATTGGTATTTTTTATATTTAGCTCTCAATCAAGTACAATTTATGCTTCTTGAATGTGACATTTATTGATAAATAATAAGATAAGTGAATTATTTAGGTTTTCATCAAGTTTCACATAAATGCTTTTCTTGAATTCAAATTTATTCGTAGAGAATACTTGATCTTACTAGCAAGTTAACTTTGAGAGTATGATATGAAAATTTGTGTAAGAATGAAGAGAAAGAAAACAATTTCCTAGCTAAAATATATGTAATATAAGTGCTAATAGATGATCAAAATGCTAAAAAAAATTATCATAGTTAAAGAGATCTAACATGCTCCTCTTCATCCTTTGTTTATAGGGATTTAAGGATTACAGAGAAACCTACATTAATAAAAGAATAAAAGTAACACTTTGGTTAGTTGAAGGGGGAATGGCCTTCCTTGAAACTTGTTTGTCTATATCTGGGTGAGCTCAATAATGCCAAGTTTGTATATACGAATAAGTGTAGATGAGTTGTATGGCATGTCTTGCATGGCGAGAGCTAATGCGGGCTAAAGGCTTAGAATCATTGGTGACCTGTGCTAGAGTTCTATGGTGCCTTGTTGATAGAGGTGAGTGAGCTTAGGTTGTAAGGTTGATGAGCGACAAGGTCAGATCGATGACTATGATAAGGTGAGTTGGGATCGTTTGAGTAGGCATCTTCCTTATAGTTGAAGTGGTGAGCGAGATCAGGTGTACATTGATGCGAAGGATGGTGAGTAGTGTTAACGATGAGTTCTTCTGGGAGGGACGAATGACAAGGCAAGCTTCAAGCATTTGAGGTGAGTGGCAAGCTATGTAAGTGGGAGGTGATTCCCCACTGAGCACATTATGGAGTTGGATCTCATGAATTCAAGAGGAATTCTCATGTGACTCGCAAGATATGAGTTCTTCTGCCATAATCCACTAACTGTCTATTGAATCCCTAAAAAGGCATATGCAAGTATATATTAAGTTCCTTGACTCACTTGACCCTTAGATGGGAGAGTGACCAAAAGGACAACTAACATAATGATGAGTATTAAATAAGCCTACCAGACTATCATGAGAGAGAAAATGCAAAGCTACTACCTTATTTTACTGTATTCTTGATAGTATCTTAGAATTTCATTTAGAAATTCTTCGCTTCTTTGATTTTTTTACTAAAATGAGATAGACTCGTAATTGTAATAAAAATGGACATTACTGAGCTAGCTTTATCCAATTTAAAACAAGCAGAGAAGGTAGGCTTTCACTTAGGGAAATGTAAAAAGTAAAAGAGGAGGGCGAGTAACCCCCCCCGACAAGTAAAGAGGTTGATGGTGGTTCCCAAAGTATGACTGGGTCCACTAAACCCCTATAAAGAGAGTGAGGTTCAAGCTTAGGGTGGCAAAGGTGACTACAATTTTGCCGACTAAAGAAGTGGGACCAACCGAGTCAGCCATGGTTGCCAGTAATGTGGCAAACCCTATAAGTGTTGACCTTTCTTTTGACACTTTGATAGTGTCCTGCTTAACTTAATATTATCAAAGAAAATGCCCCTAGTGCGTCTGGTGGAAGCAATGAAAACTAATGAAGTAGCTTCCACAAGTTGTACGTGTGTTGACATGGTTGATAATGTTGTACAAGTTGATAAGTTTTTGATGAAAGGGATTTTTATATCTCTTGCACTTATGAAAGATGGAAGTAAACCCCTTAGTGCAATTATTGATGTCGAGAGTTTCTAGATGTATTTTTTGAAAAGTTGATGTAACAACCTCTAGAAAGAGATGGCTTTTTATATTGATGTAGTGTCAAGAAGCAAAAGCTCCATATAGAATGACACCTAAGGAATTATAAGGATTGAAAATTTAATTATAGAAGTTACTAGGTAGAGGCTTTATTATTCCTAGTGGATATCTATGGAGTGCACATGTACTATTTGTGAAGAAGATGGATGGAATGTTGTGAATGTGTATTAATAATGAGTTAAATAAAGTGACCAACATAAAATTGTACCCATTACATCGAGTCAATGATTTTCTTCATTAGTTGGAAGGTGCATCAATTTTTTTTAATGATAGTCTTGAGATCTATATATCATCAATTGAGACTGAACGCAAAAGATGTGGAAAAGATAGCTTTTAGCACTTGTTATGATCATTGTGAGTTTTGGTTATGCCTTTTTATAGTATAAATGCAATGAATGTATTCAATTATTTGATGAACTTCATGTTTAAGAAATATTTAGAATAATTCATTATTATTTTTGTTGGTGATATTTTGGTGTACTTGAGGACTGAGAAGGATCATGCAACTCAATTAAGATTTACTTTAAAGACTTCATAAAAATATCAGTTATATGATGAGTTTTCAAAGTATGAATTTTGGTTAAAGTCTAAAATTTTTAAGTCATATGTTATGTGGTGATAAAATATTTGGGAGTCCTTAGAAGGTGCAAGCCATAGTTGATTGGGTAAGGCAAGCTTTAGTGTCATAAGTTTATAGTTTTCTTGGTATGACGAGCTATTATAGGAAGTTAGAGGCTTTTCATATATTATGATTTCTTTCATGATATTAGCTTAGAAGGCTAGGTATTTTGATTGGACAAAGAGTGTGAGGCCAATTTTTTAAAGTTAAAGGATTGTTTGGTGTCAACACCAGCTCTGACTATCTCATCCATTATTGGTTGGTTTCAAGCATTTAACAATGCTTCTCGAAGAGATTTGGGGTGTGTATCACAGTAGAATGAGAAGGTTATAGCTTATGCTTCTAAGCAGTTGAATTCATAAGAGAAAAATTATCCTACTCATTATTTACAGTTGTAGGCTTTTGTATTTGCATTAAAGTTTTGGAGGCATTACTTATATGGAGTAAGATGTGAAATTTATATAGATCATCAATGCTTGAAATGCATCTTCACTCAGAACAACTTGAATCTAAGGAAGAGAAGTTGATTGGAGTTGATCAACGATAATGTCCTTAGCATTATTTACCATCCTAGTAAGGTAAATTCAATTGTTAATGCTTTAAACAGGTAGTCAATTAGAAGGAGAACTTATATAATCACTTGTAAGGATACTTTGATTTTACAAATGGAAAATTTAGAATTAGAAGTTGTTTGTTCATCTTATGTGAATGTAGGAGTTCTTTAATAAATGATTACTCAACCTTCCTTATAAGAGAAGATTAAGGTAACTTGGAGATTAGGTGATGAGTATGCTCGATAAGTTGATAAAATCAAGTATGGAAAGAGAGTTGATTATAAGTGGATAATCATGGTGTTTTAACTTGGGGAGGTCGACTCTAGGACTATTAGTGGTGAGTTGAGGATTTTTTTTCATGAAGCTCATTATTTTAGATGTACCATCCACCCAGATAGTGGTAAGATATATCATAATATGAAACCGACATTTTGGGGGCTTGGATTGAAGTGTAATGTGGTTAAAACTATTTTGAAATGTGAGATCTACTAGATGGTGAAATCTAAACATCAAATGACAATTGGATTACTATAGAATTTGCATATTCCAAAATGGAAAGGGGTAGAGGTTGCAATGGATTTCACTATAGGATTCCTAAGATTGAGGCAAGGCATGATGTAGTATGGGTTGTAAATGACTGTCTAACAAAGTCAATGCATTATCTTCCTATGAGATAGACACAATCTCAATGGAAACATTGGCATAACTATATGTGAGAGAGATTGTCAGACTACATGGATTACCTAATGTTATCATTTCTCCTTATAGTGGAGAGGCACTTAGGAAAGCTTAGGAACTAAGCTGTATTTTAGAACAACTTTTGACCCATAAACAGACAGTCAATCTGAGAAGATAATTTAGGTGTTTAAAGATCTATTGCGATTGTGTCTTTTAGATTTGGAGAAAATTAGGAAGATTATAACTATTTAATTACATTTGCTTATAATAATAGTTTTCAGTCAAGCATCGATATGACCCTATATGAAGCATTATATGATAGGGAGAGCTTGGCACCTTTGTCTTGCATAGATGTGGGTGAGAGAAGGTTGATGGGTTTTTGAGTTGGTGGATGATTCCATTGAGAAGATCAGTTTGGTCATGAATAAATTGGTGGTAGCTCAAGGTAAAGAAAAGATGTATTATGATTTGTAGCATCAAGCAATTGAATTTTAGGTGGGTAATTTTGTGTTCTTGAAGTTTAGTTCTTTGAAGGTGTGGGCATATCTGGTAAAGAAGGAAAGCTGATTTCAAGGTATATTGAACCTTTTGAAGTGATTGGAAAAGTTGGAAAAATCTACTTAGAGGATGTTGCCTGATCATGTCTAATGTACAAAATGTGTTCTATATTTTTGTATCAAGGAAATGGGTTTCTAGTCAAGAATAAAGAATTCTTGAAGTTAAAGTGGAATTATAATCTAAGTTTATTTTTAAAGAAGAAATTGAACATTTCTTGGCTTATGATATAAATTATTTGAAAACTTATGGTTCAGGTCTAATGGAAACACAAGTCATAAAGAGAATCAACTTAGGAGAAAGTGGTTAAGATGAGATAGCTTTATCAAGATCTTTCTAACTACTACTTAATAGTGAATAATTGAAGATGATATTTTTCTAAGGAGGAGAGACTGAAATAACCACTTATAAAATGTTGAGTCTACATATGATGAATCAAATTGAATTAGTAAGAATTACAAATTCATTGAGTACTTGCTAATTTTGTGTGAATTTTTATTTTTACCTTTATATTTAATGTAGTCATTAAAAGTTATGGTTTGAAATTGAAAAAGGAAATGTTAAGCAGGA